AGTGACCCGTATCATCTGGAACGCTGTGTCGTAAGTCCATTCTGTATCGGCCCCTCTGTGCCTCACTAACCGGCATCTAAGTTGGACGAGTCAACCAATCCGCATCTGGGTCGATTAGCGCGCTTCTTGTCACAGAGCACAATGGCTTTCTTCTGGCGAGCTGACGCACTGCGCCGCGCTTGGGCCGCTTTGTCACATTCTTCTTCTGATCGTATTCAAAAGTATAAAGGCGCGCGAGGCTGTCGCGAGTTGCCCACCCCACACCCTGGATCTTTCGAATGAACCAAGGCCTCCCCTTTATCCTCGAGGACAGAACCGGCGCACATACCTCCTCCGACTTTGATGATATCTACGACCGCCTCTTCTTCCACGTTGCCACTGCCCCGCAGCGCTCGGGCAGCAGCGCCATCATGATATACAGCATGAACCGCCGCGCGTCGCGCCATCGCGACTCGCAGCCGTTCCACCACAAGCCCGTCGCCGTGCTCGAGTTTCTGCCCGACGGGTCGCTGGGCAACGTGTCGTTCATGCAGCCCGCAGGGACGCTGACGGTCCCGATGGTGCGGTACCTGCGCAAGACCTCTCTGTTCGGCCGGTACGTGGCGCGCACGATAAGCTGCGGGCGTACGGACCCTGACCCCCGCATCCGATAGCTCGTTATCGCGGAAATTCCTCTGCTCGGACGGCCGTGAGTACAAGTGGGTGAACCGGAGCGTGGAAGGACAGGAGTGGACTGTGCGTCGACCCTTCTTTGTTCTTCTTCTGTTTCATTTCGCTTACCGTGCTCGGCGGCCTTTTGTAGTGCACCACCGCCGACAACTATCTGGTTGCCCATTACGACCTCAAACCCGCCGACGTCCGCGCGTATGGTGTCTCGGGTAACAACCTGACGATATACGAAGCCTTCGCGCCGCTGACACTGGGTGAGTCGACCGCTTCTGCAGCGCAGCCGCGGCCGCTTACCGTTACCGAACCGCAGAACTCCTGGCCTCATTCATCATCATGCGGCACATACAGCAGTACAACCTCTGAGTCTGATTCGGAGTTCGGACTGCTGCTGCTGTTGTTGATGCGCTTAGCCGCTAGCGAGTGATAGCGCGCGGTCACCGGATGGACACGTCTTCTATTTATGATACATTCACGCCAGGAGTCCCTCTTGGATTCGCTCTCATCATGGCATCTCGCCAGTGCTATCTCATCACTGTATATTCTACACTAACCGCATTCGTGTATTCTACCACAATCCAGCATATCTTTACTGTACTACCGGCCGAGCTTTGGGAAATGAACGTTGAAATGACGCCAAGCTGATTCGTGGGCAACCGAATGCAGTCGGAACCCCACTCCATGACGGCCTTCCTTCCTTTGTGTCTTCGGTCTGAACTTCGGCGATTGTAACTGTTCAGGTTCTCCCTCGGAGTTGATGCATTCCAGTCGGAGCGCCGCCCAGAAAAAATAGGTGTGTACGTGCGTAAGACCGCTATCATGCTGGGATTCTCAATGACTCAATGTCCGCGGCGGCGGCGGTGGATGTGGAGAAGAATTGAGAGCTGAGAGCGGAGACCCCGCGTTGATGGAGAGAAGGCAGGGTGTCGGCATGAGTGCCGAGAGGTGCCGACGCGGCCAAGATCATTTTCGGGGTTTTGGTTCAATTTCTACTTTGCCCGGCGCAACTTAGGCTCAGGCCTCCATCGAAGTTATTAGCGGGTGTATTCCAATGTGCTCCAAGCTCCAACGCACTCCACTGCGATTCTCTGGAACGCGCCACTATCCACTATCATTAACTCTCTCGGGAGTCGACCCGAACTCCTGCGTATCCACTCGGTCCCCGAACTCCGATGTTCAATCTTGAGGTTGACAGCGTCCAGGCCTGGATTCAAATATCTGTGGAGCGCTCTGGTCGCCTTTTACACGCTAAGGTCTGATAGCGAGGATTCAGGAACCGGTCCCACCTCTGCTGGCTGGCGGGCGTTCCAAAAAAACTTGCATTGCGCTGGACCATGACCTCACCTCGAGTCGAACAAGGATTCTCTGCTGCGGGACTCTGTATACCGAACGGAAATGGACGCCGTGCGCAATGAGGTCTTCAACGACACCATTATCGAAGACACTGACTCGGGTTGAGCTCAATTATGATCTCTAGAAAAGTACCTGGAAGAAAAAAAAGACGGAGCGGCACGACTAAGACCCCGTCCGGAATTGAACCGGCTCCTCGCTTCACAGTTTTTCGGCGGAGCATGCCAGTATATGTAAGTGCGATGCATCCCAGGTGCGACGGGGTCATCACCGTTTGTGCTTGAGGTGGAGGGGGAAAAAAAGACAGCCAGTAAACGCCCAGAACGATCGTCGTTGTACTCGAGGAAGCGGACCAGCTCGGTCGAACTCGATCATGGGTTCAAGACCGATGGAACGGAGGCGGCGAAAAAAGAAACTAGGTTACTCGCAATGGCAGTAGAACCCCACCCGGAATCGAACCGGTTCCCCGCTCTTCAACATTTCTCCCTAGAGCAGGACGTATCCCACATGAAACAACAGGGTCTTCCTTGTAGGCACCATTCGTGCTTGAGGTGAGGGAGATGATATTTGGAATTTAAGCTAGTTGATGATATGGTGGCGAGTGGGATTTTCACGCCTGGTAGTTCGCCTTCGACTCTGAAGAACTTCCTCAGTCTGTGCTCTAAACGGCAAGAAAAAGAGTCTTGCGCCTGTTCATTCATCCCCTTCGACTATCTGCAGATGCGCGCCAGATTGCCTGCGACGTGCTAGGGGAAAAACGACTTCGCGACGATTGAACGACCCCGCCCGGAATCGAACCAGGTTCTCCCGCTTAGATCTGAAGGCTTTGGTCGAGGGAAAGCGGATGCATTCCACATGCTGCAGGGTCGTCTTCTCAACTTATTTAGTGCTTGACATGCTGGAGAGAATTGACAGATCTAGAGTGATGGTTGAATTAGAGCGACCCGCCGCAAGTTGAAAATCACAATGAACACTGGTACTCGCCGCGTGAGTGGATAATTCCTCCCTGAGATTGGCCGCGAAAGTGAGTGCATGCACTGAGGAATAGTGCAGCTCCTCTTTCTGATTCTGCTCCGAATGGCAAGATCATGGATTAAAATATTGGCACCTGGAATCATGGTTGAACTTTATTCGAACTGTCGATGATTTTAGCTGTTAGGAGATTCAATCTAAATTGGCTGGTTAGGCTTTGGCTGCCCGGTTTACTTACAGTATCTACAGTGCCAGCAGAAAAATCTCCCGAGAAAAAAGAACGATCAAGCGCATGACCCCGCCCGGAATCGAACCGGGTCCTCCCGCTTAAATCTCTCAAGTCATTTCGTGCTTGACATGCTAGAGAATTGACAAAGTTGATGGTTGAACTTGAGCGACCCGCCGTAAGACTGCGTAAGTTGTAATAACAATGAAAACTCGCCGCATGATTGATAATTCCGCCCTGATACTATTTGCCACTCGGAATGGGCGGATGCAGGGAATATGGTTGCTGGATCATGGATGAAAATAATCGCCCCTATGGTTGAACTTCATTCGAACTGTCAATAATAACTCAGCGGCCCTGAGGCGGTCCCTAAATCGGCCGGTTAGACTTCGGCTGCCTGGCTTACAGTACCAGCAGAAAAGCTCCCCAAGAAAATGATGGCTTCACCTCTGAGGAATACGACCCCGCCCGGAATCGAACCGGGCTCTTTCGCTTCAGAGCGTACACCCACAGTGCTGGCGGACGCATTCCAGATGCTACAGGATCCTGTTGCAGTAGAAGTGGGTGCTACATTATACCTCACCTTAGCAGAGCAGGATCATGCTGGTTTTTCAACTCGTTTCAATTGTGTGTTCAAAAGAGCGAAATTGCGGAGGTTGTGAATTGGCTTTGGGTCGATTAATGGGTTCAGCGGGTGAAGGATGGTTCGCTAAGCAAGAATTTAAACGCCACGCGATGTGGAACGTTGGAGGACGAAGGGGGGAAAAAGGTCGTTGTAACAGTACATGACCCCGCCCGGAATCGAGCCAGGTTCTCTCGCTTCGAATTTCTTGCCGACACAAGTACGGCGAACGCATGCCATATGCTACAGGATCTTTTCGTAGTAGTAGTGGGTGCTATATTGTATCTCACCTCAGTGGCAGCAGGATATGTACTACAGGCTTTTCAACTCACTCTGATTGCGTGTTCCCAAAGAGAGAAATTTCGGAGGTTGAAATGGAACGGGCTTTGGGTCAATTAATGGGTTCAGCGGGCGAATGATGGTCCGCTAAGGAAGAATTTGAGTGCGACGCGATGTGGATGGAATGTTAGAGGACGTTGGGGGAAAAACATTATCACGGTCCCTACACGACCCCGCCCAGAATCGAACTGGGCTCTTCCGCTTGATACTTCCTGAACATCGAAGTACCGGCGGACGCATGCCATATGCTACAGGGTCTTGTTGCAGTAGTAGTGGGTGTTAAATTATACCACAGTAGAGCAGGATACTAAGTACAGGCCTTTTAAAACTCATTTTAATTGCCTGTCCCAAACAAAGAGTAAAAGTTGTGGAGGTTGGAATCCGAGTCGGCTTTGAGTCAATCCATGGGGGTGAAGAATGGTTCGCCAAGTAAGAATTTGAGTGCGATGCGATGCGATGTGGATGGAATGTTGGAGGACGTTGAGGGAAAAACATTATCACGGCCCGCCCAGAATCGAACTGGGCTCTTCCGCTTGATACATGTTGAACATTAAAGTGCTCGCGGATGCATACCATATGCAACGGAATCCTGTTGCAGCATTAGTGGGTGCTATATTATATCTAGCACCGCAGGATACTGCACGCTTTATCTTAACTCACTCTAGTCAACGTTGCGTGGTCCCAAAGAGAGGAATGGCGGAGGTTGGAATCGCCGGCTTTGAGTAAACCACTCAGCGGTTCACTAAGAATCTGGATGCGATGTGATTTGGAACTTGAGCGCCCAGGAGGACGAAAGAAAAACAGTTGTAGTCAATATCACGCCCACGACCCCACTCGGAATCGAACCGAGTCCTTCCGTTTGAATTTTTTCTTGGCCGCGACTAGCAGAATCGGATGCATGCCATATGCTACAGGGTCAATCTCGCTCCTCGTAGCGGGACCTGAGGTCAGAGAGAAATCATCCAATCAAGTTGAATCAACTCCGGTGATTGGGCGGGCGATCCGCACAAAGTTTTCAACCAAAAAAAATGACTGAAACTTGGTTTGCCAATTCTATGCAGGTTTTCCCACCTCAACGAGTCTTCGACTGGATAGGAAACATTGTGCCCACCATGACGGGCCGACTCGGTTCGGGCCCAGGCAGCAGACCTCGGGTATGATTTAAACTCCGCCGGTTACTACACGGCAGCAGAGGCTGTTGGCAAACACGGGCACACAACTCTCCTCCTTTTCCCTCGCGGTGATGGCGACTCAACCGTTCGTGCAGACCGGCGAAGCACTCAACGATTTTCTGCGGTCCTTCTGGCAGCGCCAAATCGACGCCGCCGAGCAAGAGACGCCGGACTACCGCCACCCGCCCCTCCCCCTCGCCCGCATAAAGAAGGTCATGAAGAGCGACCCGGACGTCAAGGTACGCCGCGAGACGCGATTGGTCTGTCCAAGGTTGAATTCAATCTGCCGTTCGCAAAGATGATCGCTGCTGATGGTATGTCACCTGCGCACCCGACCCCCGCCCATTGGCTACAGCCCCGGCCTCCCCCCAGCACCTATTTTATTCTGCAAGGCGTGCGAGAGTGCGTGTATATATACCCCCCTATACGCGCCCGCACTCACCATCGCCTTATCTCCCTTTATCCTCGGTTGGTTTCGTCTTTTTGCTCGTCGTCGGTGCCACTATGTGCAGTATTTATCGCGGAAATCACCGCTCGCGCCTTCATCATCGCAGACTCGAATAAACGCCGGACGCTCTCGCGCGCAGACATTGCAAAGGCGCTGACAAAGTCGGATCAGTTCGACTTTCTTATCGACATCGTCCCCAGGGAGGAGCCGTTCGCCAGCACCAGCCTCGGAGGAGCGGGCGGCGCAGGGCCGAAGAGGATTGGGGGCCCAATTCCGAAGCGCGAGCCGGTGAGTCTGGTCTGCCTGCCTTGTTGGAGGGGTTGCTGTGGTGGCCTATATTCGACGCGGATGCCTAACGGCCATGTCTATATGCAGGTATCTTCCCCAACGGCGCTGGATCTGCGACCCGAAGACGGCGAGGAAGGTGACGCGCCGCAGGGGTCCGAGGTGCTCGACCAGGTGCGGTGCTCTGCGTTTCTTTCCTTTCCTTCCTTCCTGCTGCCCTTCCCTACGCATCCATTAACACTCCCCTCCGTTGCAGTTGGAGTCGCTACTGTCAGCAGGGCCGACACCGCGCGGGTCCTGATGTATTGCTGTGAAGCCGTGAATCAATTGACAATGGACGTGTACTGTGAAGATCGTGCTCTTCTCGTCAGAGTCTAGACGGCTGCTCCATACATACCTCAATCTTCGTTCGTTCCTCCTCCGACGATCTCCACCGGGGTTCAACACCATTGAGTCCCAATTTTATTTCGGTATCGCCGATCTACACCGCGAATCCAGACCCATTCGCCGTCTGCGGATCTGCCACAGTCCCGAGACGAGTCCCCGAATGGTGCGGGGAATGGTGGGTGCCCGCTGGCTGGTGATTGGCCAACCCTAAATCCGCGTCGAGCAGCGGCATCTCGTGATCGCGTTTGAACAGTTGCAAGTTCCTTGCGTCATGTCTTTGTCTTGGAAAGGATCTCGCTTGGCGATGGGATAACGACCCGCTTTCCGGTTGGGATGCATCGATGCAATTTTACGGAGATCTCTACGTTCTCGAGATCCTTCGAATCTCACATATAGGTCTTTTAGCTTCATTCACGGAGATCGGGTCCGTCATTGCGTTCTCGTTGCGTTCTCGAGATCCTTCAAATCTTCAACAAGATACACATAGGTATTTTAGCTGTACTGAGTAGGAAGACCCTGTGGCATTTGGAATGCATCCGCTCTTGCTGAAGCTTCAGCATGAGAGAGGTTGAAGCGGAGGATCCGGTTCGATTCCGGACGGGGTTGTAACCTTTCAGTTCTGTGTATAATGCTTTTGGTTGGCGGCATCCACGCGATGGGTTTCCGGCTCTAACCTCACAACTGCAGCGGCTGTTGGCCTTGCAGTGCGAGCGGGTGTTGAAATTGAACCAATATTTAAACGAATGAGAATCCAACCTCGTTCCTTGAACTCATCTCAAGCTCCCAGCGCCGATAGACCCAGAGATGTAAGACCCTGTCGCATGTGGTATGCATTCTTGCAACTTGCGTACGGAAATCGATTATTGTGAGGAATAACCTGGTTCGATTCCGGGCGGGTCATGACTCTAGTCTCTGGTCCGTGTTTTTCCTGCTTTGATGCTGGCCTTCGAGTATCACAGTAACCTTTCTTCGTCTTGAGCTCCTAACTTCGGACAGAGATACCCAACCCCTGTAGCATGTGGTATGCGTCCTCGGAATTTGTGCGTGCTAGACGAGCAAATTATTATGAGGGATATCCCGGTTCGATTCCGGGCAGGGTTATGAAGTGGTTCTGAAGGTTGTTTATCTTTGCTCGTGGCCTCCGTATCACAGTTTTCGACGCGTTACTAACAAGGATTTCTCATTGTAGCTGAATGACCTCGTAGCAGCAGGCCTGCATTAAGAGATGGAACTCGCTGATTGAAGCGGAGGAGCCTAGTTCAATTCTGGGCGGGGACATAACTGCACAACAAGGACCTTTTTACTGTTCAGGTCAACCGTCGGCCGCTCGAGCTCAACCACCCTTTTCGAACGTTTCTCTCCTGGGATCCGCCGTTTCCGCACCCGATACAACGACCCCGTACATGGTATGCATTTGTTCCTAATATCAGCGAAACAACTCATGGTTGACGTGGAAGAGGTTGGTTCAGGTCACTGGAGCTCAACACTCCTCGTTGAGCATGTATGTGCTTTTCCTCTTTCACCTTACATTAATCCTTGAGATAAAGACCCCGTGGTAGGTGGCTTGCATCTGTCTCGAATGTAGAGGAACCACACTGACGAATTGAACCGGATGTACCTCGTTCGACTCGGGGCGGGGTTGTTTGCGTGCATTATGGTGTTTTTTCTCTCTTTCATTCAGGCTACCTACAAACACGATGGATTTGGAGCTCAAGTTGTAAATGCTGGCAGTTCGACTGGCCCCGGTACCGGTGGGGTGTTGAAACATCAGTGAAATTCAACCAACATTGACATTCAACTGAATCAGAACCTAACCTCGTTCTATAAACTCATCTCAAGCTGAAGCTAAAACACGCCTTGAGAAGCAAGACCTTGTAGCATGTGGCATGCATCCTCGAAGTTTAAGTGAGCTTCTGAGCATCATTGTGAGGAATAATAATTCTGGTTCGATTCCGGGCAGGGTCGTGGGGGATTGATTTGGTTTGCTTATTTTTGACTTGTGGCCTCCAAGTATTATTACAGCTTCATCTCAAGCTCCAGCTCACAGCACAAACAGATCTTGAGAAGCAAGCCCTGTAGCATGTGGCATATGCGTCAACTATCCCTGTGTGGAATAATCCCAGTTCAATTCCGGGCAGGGTCGTGATTGACGAAGCAACGGAGTTCGTTATTTTTTCTCGTGGTCTTTGAGTGTTACAATCTTCGGCACATTAGGGAGGCCCCCATTCCTTGGAAGTGACCTCGTAGCAGGCGGACTGCATTCATTCGAAATAACGCGGAAGACAGTCTTGAAGCGAAGTAACCTGGTTCAGTTCCAGGCGGGGTCGTCTGCAAGGAGTGGGCGCTTTTTGGTTCATTCCGACTTCACGGTTTTGATAACTGCATTTTTTTTTTTTTTTTTTTTTTTTTGGCGGTACGATAGGACCGCCGAGCAACTAACTTGGTTAGCCCTCGACAGTCTCGTAAGGACGGGGGACGCTCGACCCCCACTTGGTTCTTGGTAACCACTCCTGAGGAAATGCATTTACGCACCGTGACGCCGCATGTGCGACAGTGTGGGGCTCAACGTCTCTACTAACCGACCCCCTCCGAATCATTATCGGGGGTGTCGGGGATCTTGCAGTTTTTTGCCTCTCACAGATCCACTTGCGCCATACTCAGAACAAAGACCCTGTAGCAGGTGGCCTGCATCTGCTCTCGCTAAAGGTACAAGATGGATTGTTGCAGCAGTGCCCGGTTCGACTCCAGGCGGGGTCATCTGTGAAGAGGTACCGTTTTTTTCTTTCTCTTTTTCCGTTCAGGCTATCCTACATACGTCGTACGATGTGTTTCTAACTCAAATTGTAGCATGACCCCGCCGTTGGCAGACTGCGTGTTGAAAATTAATCAACAAACACGAAATCAACCTCATTCCGTTCAACTCATCTCACACTTGAAGCATTAAGGTGCATGGCCCTGTAGCATGTGGTATGCGTTCGCGGAATTTGTGCGTTTGAGCAGTGAAACAGCAAATTATTGTCAGGGACATCTCGGTTCGATTCCGGCAGGGTCTTTGGGAAGTGAGCGAATAGTTTTGCTCCTGGCCTTTGATTTGAAGGAAAGAACGCGGCCCCAGAAAATGATTTTTCATCAATGAGGAAAATGAGCCCGTAGCAGGTGGCCTGTATGGAGTGACTTTTGGTCCAGCCTGATTTTCAACTTCACGCCTGGAAGCGGACCACTGGGATCAACCACCCCCGGTCGAGATTTTCCCTTCCATTCACTTTCGTGGCTCCACGTGGAAGACCCTGTAGCAGGTGGGCTACATCCGTTCTGCCTAGTACTCTATGTATCATTGAAGCGGGCCGACTAGGTTCAATTCCGGTCAGGGTCATGGCGCGTCAGTTAGATAATTTTTTCCCTTTTGCTCTTCAGATTGATTCCAACCGTTCCACGCCGTCGACAGCCGCAGACTATTCACCCACCTTCGCCGTGCACACTTGAGAGACGAAGACCCCGTAGCATCCGGCATGCATCCGTTCTTGGGTGGAATTAAGAGTTCTAATTGAATCGGAGGAACCTGGTTCGATTCCAGGCGGGGTCGTAGTGGCGTAATTTTCCCTTTTGCTCAGACTGCTTTGAACTTC